TTAAAAACCATTGGTGGTTGTGGTGATGGTGGGGGGGTGTCCTGTTCCAAGTTAAGGATATGTGAAGTTGTTTAGATGGGAGAGAGTAGAAAGGAAAGAAATAAAAAAAAATGATCCCAAATCTCTGCCCCAGGGAAAACAGAGTGTCAGTTTTTGTTATGTAATGTCCACAAATAAAAATGATTCCTGGATAGCTAGGTGGTGTAGTAGATAGAGTGCTAGGCCTGGAGTCAAGTGTGTGAGGCCAGATTTGAACTCAGGAAGATGAGCCTCTATCCACTGCACCACCTAGCCACCGTATATGACCGTGTGACTATGGCTAGTTTTGATTTCTTCTGAAAACTGCCTGTTCATGTCCTTTCACCATTTGTCAGTTGAGGAATGGCTCAAATTTGTGAATTTTACTCAGTTCCATATATATTTGAGAAATGAGACTTTTGTCAGAGAAATGTGCAAAAATTTTTAATGTCACTTCATCGTCTATGTTATCTTCTAACAAAATATGTTTCCCCAATTATCTTGTTTAATTAGGTCTATTTTTGCTCTTGCTTTGTCTGAGATGATGAATTCAAATCCTCCCTTTTTTACTTCAGCTGAAGCATAATAGATTCTGCTCCGGCACTTTGTATGAACTCTGTGTGTGTCTTTCTGTTTCAAGTGTGTTTCTTGTAAGCAACATATTGTTGGATTCTAGTTTCTAACCCATGCTCCTACCTGAATCTGTTTTTTGGGTGAGTTCATCCCATTCACATTCATAGTTATGATTACTAACTGTATGGTTTTTTTTTCCTATTTATCCTTCTCTCTCTGTTTTTGTCCTGTCCCTCCTCAAAAGTCTGTTTTTTTCTAACCACTGCCTCTCCTAACCTACCTTCCATTTTATTGTCCCCCAAGGCTATTTCTTATCCCTTTCCCACCCTATTTCCCTGTAGACTAAGATATATATCTTTACCCAATTGAGTGTGTTTATATATTCTTCCTTCTTTGAACCAGTTAACATGAGAATGAGGGTCAGGCTTTACCCATGACCCTTTCTTTTCCCCTTTCACTATAAAAGCTTTCTTATGTACTTTTTTTATGTGAGGAAATTTTTCTCATTCTACCTCTTCCTTCCCCCTTTCCCTAGTACGTCCCTCTTTCTCCTTCACTTTTTTTTTTGAGATCATCCCAACGTAATTAACTCACACTCATGCCCTTTGTCTATTGTAGACTGCTTCTAAGTGCCATTATAATGACAAAGTTCTTAGGAGTTACATGTATCATCTTCCCATATAGGAATATAAACAGTTTAACTTTATTGAGTCTCTTATGATTACTCTTTCGTGTTTATATATATATGCACACACACACATACATACATATATATACACACACATATATAAAACACACACATATGTATGTATATAATGTATATGTGTGTGTGTGTATGTATATATATGTATGTGTGTATGTATGTACGTACCTATGGGCAGTTAGGTGACACAGTGGATGGGGTCAGAAAGGACCTGGAATCAGAAAGACTCCTCTTTTCTTGAGTTCAAATCTGGCCTCAGACACTTATTAGCTATGTGACTCTGGGTAAGTCCATTTATCTCAGTTTCCGCATCTGTAAAATGAGCTGGAAAAAGAAATGACAAACCACCCCAGAGTCTTTGCCAAGAAAACCCCAAATGGGGTCACAGAGATTCAGACATGACTAAAAAACGATTGACAACAACAAAAAATACATACACAATACACAGTAGTAAATGAGCACACATCCAAGCTTTTTGGGTTAACAACTCAACATTTGACAAGAATTGATGGGAAAACTGGAGAGCAGTTTGGCAGAAACTAGGCATAGACCAACATCTCACATTGTATACCAAAATGGATAAATGATTTAGGCATACTTGTCGGATCTAAAGATAAAGAAAGAATGTATGACCGAATAAGAGATAGAGAGGATCACGGGAAATAAAATGATAATTTAGATTACCCAAAATTAAAAGGCTTTTATACAAATAAATTTAATGCAGCCAAAATTAGAAGAATGACTGGAAACTGGGAAAAATGTTTACCAGCAAGTTACTTTGATAGAAGACTCATTTCTCAAATATATAGGGAACTGAACCAAATTTATAAAAAATAAGAGCCATTCTCCAGTTGATAAATGGTCAAAGGATATAAACAAGCAGTTTTCAGAAGAAGAAATCAAAGATATCAATAGTCACATTAAAATGCTCTAAATCATTATTGATTAGAGAAATACAAATTAAAACAACTGATTTGCTACATCACACCTATCAAATTGGCCAATATGACAGAAGAGGCCAAGGACAAGTGCTAGAAGAGATTTGGAAAAATTGGGACACCAGTGTACTGTTGGTGGAATTATGAATGAGTCCAGACATTCTGGAGAACAATTTGGAACTATAGCCAAAAGGCTATAGAACTATTCATGCCCTTTGACCCAGCAATACCACTATTAGGTCTGTGTATCAAAGACATAAAAAAAATGGGGAAAGACCCATTGGTACAAAAATATGTATGGCAGCTCTTTTTGTAGTGGCAAAGAATAGGAAATTAGGGAATGGCTGAACAAATTGTGGTACATGATAGTGATGGAATATTATTGTGTTCTAAGAGACGCTGAACAGGATGGTTTCAGAAGATTCTGGGAAGTCTTATATGAATTGATGTAAAGTGAAGTGACCAGAACTAGGAAAATATTTTACACAGAAGTAGCAATATTGAAGGATGATCACCTACGAAAGACTTAGTTGCTCTCAGGAAAAGGAGCCAAGACAATTCCAAAAGTCCCATGATGAAAAATGCTGTCCAACTCCAGAAAGAGAACTGATGAACTGTGAATGCAGATTGAAGTATACTTTTTTTTAACTTTATTTTTCTTGTTTTATTTTTTTGTTAAAATTTTCTTTTGCAACATGGCTAATATGGAGCTGTATTTTGCTTGACTTCACTTGTATAATTGATTTATTGTTTGCCTTTCCAAGGAGGGGAAGGAGGTAGGAGGAAGAGTTTGGAACTCAAAATTTTTAAAAATGATTGTTGAAAAAATTTACATGTAATTGGGAAATATTTAACAAAATAAATTAAAAATATATATTTTTTAAAAAACCCTGGTATAAAACAAACAAGGTAGAGGCTAAAGCATTAGGAAAGGGATCTATGTCTGCAGCTTCAGAAACCAGTGGTATCAGGATTTTGATAATGGACAAGGTATCCTGTGATATTGAGACCACTGTGTATCCCTCAGTGGAGATGGACAGGTGCCTCTGGGATTATTCTTATAGGAACATAAACCCCCCATGCTTAGGCTTACCAAGTGATCAGACCTGTTCTGGACCTGTAGCAACTGTGTGCCTGTTGTCAGACGGGGACTCTCAGGAAATATTCTCCCACCCTACTCCACCCCCTTGGTGGTGAGGAGAAGTGCAGCTTGGTGTCACAGTGGATAGAGTACCAGACTTGGAGTCAGGAAGACCTGAGTTTGAATCCTCCCTCAGACACTAGTTGTGTGACCCTGAACAAATTATTTAACCTCTCCGTGCCTCAGTTTCCACATTTGTGAAGTGAGAAGGCTGGACTCCATATCCTCTCAAATCCCTTCTCTCTCCAAATCTTTGATCCTGTGACTCTACCCACTTAAACAGAGTGAGGTTGTAGAGCCCTACACATGGGCACATGCCTTCTCTTTAAGCTAAAATTAAAAGATCCTTGTCTCCCACTCCCCATTTGTAACCAGTAACTCCCAGAATTGTTGACTAGTGAGTGTAAAAGTAAAATTGGTCATTCTTATTTAGCAAATACTGTTATCTAACTTTTGTTGAACTTCGTTGACCAAAATAAGATTGAAAGCTGAAGCAGCTCTCCAAATAATTCAGGTCAGAATCCCAGCATTTCTGCCTGTTACCTGCATCATTGCCCCAAATTTCCACTTTATTTTGACTGAAGGGACCTGAGGGTTTTAGGAGGCTTGATCCTCATCCTTCTTTCAAGTAGCTGACATTATACGTATTAAATAATACATAGGCCCCAGTCAAGAAAGCATCGAAGCACCTTCCTTCCAAGGTGACATTCCAGATGGAATGAATGTGTCACTTAATGATTTCTTGGTGCTATTTTTGGACCTTCTGAAAGGAATGATAGAGTGTTCAGAGACAAGGCGGGGTGAAGTGGTGACGAGAGAGGCAGGAGTCTTCTCACCCTCCTTGGGCTGCTGTTGCCAGTCTGTTAACCCTTATGAGGATGGTGTAGGAAGCCAAAATAAGGAGAAGAAATGATTTACCACCCAACACTTTTCTAACTGGCTTCATTCTAGTGACCTTATAGCCAGGAGACTGAGGCATACTAAAGATGACCTAGATAGCTCATAGTTTGATTTCACAGAGTAGGTCTAGTATTTGTTTCATTTCCATTATGGCCAGCCACCTCTTTTGTACCTTGTTTAGAATAATTACATTATTCTGTCTGACTGGCTTATTGGATAGAAGGCTGGTCTTGAAATCAGGAAGACCTGGATTCAAATTCTAACTTAGCGCTTATGACCTGTGTAACTCTTGGCAATTTCCTTAAATTCTCCAAGCCCCACTTTCCTCAGCTGTAAAATTAGGGACATTAATAGCCCTTGCCTCCTTGTGCTATTGTCAGGATCAAATGAGATAATATATGTAAATTGCTTTCCAAATCTTTAGGCAATTTTTGATTGTGAGCTACTTGAGGAAATGAATAAAGAAAAGGGTGGAATTTTATTTAATTTGGCATATAGCCATTATTAAAATCTGGAGAAGGAAATGGCAAACCACTGCAGTATCTTTTCTCAGAAAACCTCAAATGGGATCGCAAAGAGTTGGACATGACAGAAAATGACTGAACAACAACAGTATTAAAATATGTTTATTGGAAGTAGGCTTTACCCTTAGATGTTGTTAAACTTATACAAATTTGCTTTCCTAAGGCTTTTTTATTCCACTATGATCTTTTTACTTTTGCCACAGGTAAAAAGAAAATTGAAATTTCTGAAAATGACCTGAAAAAAGTCCCACTAATTAAACGGTGTGTTTTAGAAACTATTCGCTTGGTTGCCCCTGGTATGATCACAAGAAAAGTGATTGAGCCCGTGAAGATTTTGGTGAGTTTTTATTTGATTTTATACTAATGACTGTTCTAGAAGAAAACATTTCAGATTTTATACTTGCTGCTATGTTTTGTGACGTATAAAAAGTCTGAGATACAATTTCTGGGTAACTAGTCATTTTATTAATTATGGCTAGTGAGTAATTAATAAAGGATGATCATTTGGCTGTTTCTCAAACCAGAAGACTCCTCCTGGAACTCACTCAACATTTATATCCCCTTGGAAGATTGAGTGTTCCTGAGGGTGGAAATCAACTCTGATTGGTTAATGAGAGAATGAATATTATCATGAGAGGTGGGCTTATTCCAGTGAGAGTCTGGAGGACTGATCACTTAGCCTTGGAAAAAGAGACTAATCTGTATCAGACTAACCCATATCTAGAGCAATCTAGACAAAAGGAGGAATCCACTTCCACCCAGACCTGTCTGAATGAAACACAATGGATTGTAATTCACCACTTCCTTTACACTAGAATTGCTTTACCTTTTGACAAGATCTGAGTTTCCTAGTTGCATGCTTGTAGCCCATATTTCATCTTATTATCAGCGTTGCCCTTCAGAAACTGGCTGGATAACTTACAGGGGCTGATTTCGGAATAAGGAAATAGGAAGGGGAAAAACCTTAGTCTTAATTCAATAATTGGTCATTAACATAAGAGGGAAATAATATTTCTGAAATGGAGAGACAGACAGACATGCTGAAATTAGTTAATAAAAATAATTGATTGTAGAATACTTTGCGTGTATTATCTAATTTGATCCTTACAACAATCTCTGCAATAAGGTAGTATTATCTCTATTTTACAGATGAGTAAAATGAGAGTGGTCATTGACTCCCAGTCCTGACTGAGAATCCAGAGTTTTATTCATTATGCTACACTGAGGAGCTATGCACTTTCTTTCTAGAGGTAGATATTTGTCTCTATGGAATGTTTTTGGAACATGGCTCCTTAAGGTCCTTTGTCAGTATATTACAACAATACCATCTCAGTGTCAGAAGGAAAGAACTGGAGAGATGATTTAGTCCAAAATCCTTCTTGCAGTAGCAATTCCTTCTTGGCCATTTCCCTTTAGTAGTGGGCGACTTCTAATGTTATGTGATTAGGTTTGTTATAATGTTGACATTTTGATTTAAATCAAGGATGTAAAGTGGGTCACTTTAATCAGTCCATGAAAAGCAGTGTGTTATAATGAAAAGGACACCTGAAGTTAAATGATTTATATGTCAGACCTGGCTGTGTCATATATTAGCAGTGTGACCTTGGTCAAGTTGATTAGCTTCTTTTTTTTCAATCTGAGCTTCAAGAGAAAACTCTCCTGACAATACCATTGTGAGGATCAAACCATAATACGTATAAAACACTTGGTAACTAAAACCTCTGTGAGTTATCACTAAAAGTCTTTTCAGTTACCTGGAATGCATATATAGGAACAGATATCAGGAATCCCTTAAGGAAGCTAGGTGGCATGGTGGACAGAACGTCTGGGTCTGGAGTCAGGAAGGCTCTTCTTCCTGAGTTCAAATCTAGCCTTTGATACTTGATAGCTGTATGACTTTGGGCAAGTCTCTTCACCATGTTTGCCTCAGTTTCCTCATCTCTAAAATGAGCTAGAGAAGGAAATGGCAGGCTCCTTCAATATCTTTGCAAAGAAAACTCCAAATTGGGTTACAAAGAGTTGGACATGACTGAACAATAATATCAGGAATACTTTAGCTAAAAACAAAAGCAAAAAACCTAGCTTAAGGAGGCAACAGAGATGATGATGTACTCTTTGCTGGCAAAGAGACGTAAACAGTTCAGATTCACAGGACTGACATGTGCTTAGATATTTAAGTGTCTTCACAAATATCATTACTTTTAAAAAAGCTTTATATATGCCTTTTTAATTCAATTCATCAAGCATTTATTGAGCATTTGTGTACTTTTACAGTTTTTTGATTACAAGATTTTTTTTTTATATCAGAATGGGAATATAATCACTTATTGTATTCCCAGTGATTAGCACCAGTGCCTGGCATAGTTAAGCAGAACCATCCAATGAAATGGCTGCCTCTGGCAGCATAGGCAGAATTCCAGAGCTGAAATTGCCTACACCTGCAGAGAGGAGGGAATGGTGTTTCTTCATCTTTCCTCTGGGACCAAGATTGATTATTGTATTTAATCTGACAGCCTTTCAAATTTTATTTTCTCTTGCATCATTGTGGTCATTGAGTAAGTTGTCCTGGTTCTGCTTGCTTCATTGTGCATCAATTCATATACATCCTCCCAGGTTTTTCTGAATTCTTCATATTTATCATTTTTAGGTCACAACAATATTCTGTTACATCTATATATCACAGTTTTTCAGCCGTTCCTTCATTTACACATTACATATACATTAATATACATTAACTGGTATTTATATAATGTTTCAATGTTTACAATCCACTTTACACATATCATCTCACAATAACTCCATGAGTCAGACAGGCGTGGTCTTACAGAACAACAGCATATGAGTTGAGAGAGATGTGAGACACCACCTTATCCAACCTCTTGTTGTTGTTGTTTCAGTTATTTCCTACTTTTTGTGACCCCATTTGGGGATTTTTTGGCAAAGATGCTGGCATGCTCTGTCCACTATGCCACTTAGCTGCCTCCATCTAACTCACACGTGACCAAAAATCACTTCTACAGCATACCAAACAAATGATTGACTAGCCTCTACTTGAAAGGTCTCCAGTGCTTGGGAACCACCACCTCTCCAGAAGCTTCTACATTTTTGGACATGTTTGATTGTTAGGAAGTTTTCCCATGACATCATACTTCAGGCTTAAATTTGTCACTTTCCAGTTGCACCTGCTACTTTTTACTAATGAAGGAATAGAAGCTCTGAGCAATGAAATGACATGTCCAAAGTCACCTAGAAAATGACAGAGCTAGATGCTGTCTTTTAACTCCAAATTCTGTCCTTTCTCCCTGCTCCCTCCCCCAAACTCCTCTCCCATTATACCACTGTAGTGCATTAAAAAGTGGTTGAATCAATATCTGAATGAAATTGCCATTAAGAATTTCTTCTGGGGACAGCTAGATGGCGCATATAGATAGAGCTCTGGCCTTGGAGTTAGGACGACCTGAGTTCAAATCTGGCCTCAGACACTTAACACTTACTAGCTGTGTGACCCTGGGCAAGTCACTTAACCCCGATTGCCTCACAAAAACAAAACAAACAAACAAAAAAACCCAAAGAATTTCTTTTGGCTATGAGGCTTATCCATATGCCCTGAATTTAGTGAAGTCTTGACTTTTTTTTTTTAAGCATAGCCTAAGAGAAGTAGAATTTCAAGCAGGAAAATTTTGTAGTAGCAAAAAAAGAATGCAGATGGAAAATAGAAATTAGTAAAAGTTCACTACTTAATAAATCTGAAGGGCAAGGATAAAACACCGTACAGTTTTGTGCCAATCTGTGCATGTCATTTGATGGACGAGAAAGAGCATTGGATTCGAGTTAGAAGACCTGGATCTGAGTTCCAATTTCACCATTTACTAGCAATGTGTTCCTAGAGAAATCATTTAACTTCTTAGAGTTTAATTTTCTCACCTGTAAAATGAAGAGAATAATATTGACACTACCTAGTTTAGGTTTTCCTAAATTTAAGCAACTTTATGTTGGTAGGATGAAGGCATTTGAAAAACTGTGAAGTACTATATTAATGGGAATTATTATTATTAATATTTATCATTGTTAATTATTAGACAAGATACCTAATCTCTGTTACTTTTTAAAACATTTTTATTTAAAATTTTGAATTCCCAAATCTATCACTCCCTCTGTTCCCTGTCCCCTCTCTCCCTGAGAAGGTAAGCAATCAGATGTAGGTTATACATGTGCGATTATGTAAAACATTTTCGTATTAGCCATTTTATATGAGAAGACTCTAATAAGAGAGAAAAAATGAAAAAAGTGAAAAATAGCTTGCTTCTGTATTCAAACAATGTCAGTTCTTTCTCTGGAGGTAGGTAGTTTGCTTCATTATTAGTCCTTTGGGATTGTCTTGGATCATTGTATTGTATTGCTGAGAATAGCTAAGTCATTCACAGTTCTTCATCAAACAATATTACTTTTATTGTGTACAACATTCTCCTGGCTCAGTTTACTTCACTATGTATCAGTTCATGTAAGTCTTTCCAGGTTTTTCTGATTTTCTGAAATCATCCTGCTTGTCATTTCTTATAGCACAATAATATTTCATTGCATTCATATAGCACAGCTTGTTTAGCCGTTCTCCAATTGATGAGCATCCCTTCACTAATCTCTATTATTAAGAGTAACTGAAATATAAATATATATATATATATATATATATATATATATATATACACACACACATGTGTATGTATGTATGTATATGACTAATAAATGTTTAGGGCAGAATTTTCCAGCTGAGCGTACATAAATGCTAGTGCTTATTTTTTATGTAATTTTTAAACAATTGGTTTTCTCTTGTTATTATTGACTAAAGGAAACTATTTGAATATAAAGAAGCTATCTTGAAAAAAATTGGGGGGGAACAAGGCTCTGTACAAGTAGCAGAACATTATTACTGAGAATTATTATACTGCAAAACATTCATTATTGTATTTTTATGGATAAGATATGCATAAAAATAGATGTCATAGCAGATTGCTGTCACTTTATGCCCCAGTAGATAGTGTTGTAAGTTGCCAAAACAAACACATAAACAAACAAACCTTCTATCCTGTGGTGACCAGCTTTGAGGAGGTTGCATTCTTACCTACCCCTTTCAGTACTGGCAACGTTGGCACTGTCAACTGAGACATCATCACCTTCTGTATGTTGGTGGGTGGCAGGGGGGAGAAAGGGGAGAAAGATGATAATGTCTCCTTATCACTCAGTTCTAATGAGATCTTGGGAAAGGGATAAGCAATGTTATATAACATTAGATTGAGGTGATATCTTTTTATAAGCAGTAGTGCAGATTTCTGTTAAAAA